TTTTTTTATGTTTGTTACTGTTATTTTTGTTTATTTATGAATATTATATGTTTTTAGTCATAACTGAACAAAAATAACAATATATATATATATATATATCACCGTAAAGAAATTACAATCTTTTTTTGGCTCTTAATAATAAAGTTAAATAAATAAACATGAACACAAATTAATTATAGTATCAAAAAAAAAACAAAGAAAGTTACTAAATGCTTCTTTTCAAGTTTGCATTATCAATGTATTGGATTAGTGTTTTCAGTAAATGTATATCTGATGCGTTGATGATTGTCTTGAATTTTTCTGTTATGTCCATCTCATGTAAATTAGTAAATATTTTGTTAAATTCATCGTAAAGAGTCTTTCTTTCAGAAGAGTAAGCTTTACAAGATGTAATGAAGTGGATTTCATCCTCTAATACATTGCATGTTTTGCATAGTCTCTTGCTGAGTGGTGTTTTTGGACGAGTATGTCTTCCTACTCCAATCTGTAATTTGTGGCAACTAAGCCGTAATCTTGCTATATATATATATATATATATATATATATATATATATATATATATATATATATATATATATATATATATATATATATATATAATGCAAAAAACCCCAAACAAAATATTTCCGCATTTTTTTTTAGAAATAAACGGTGTTGATTAATATACATACCAGTGTTTGGTTGTTTCCCCCGATTTATGTTTCACTTGGTTTTTCTGTTTGTTGAAAACACATTCCTCTTCTGTTATGAAAAATGTGAAAACAACAAAAGATACTCACAACGTATTACATGTACTAGTGTTTCTAAAATATTCTAACATTATATGTATTTTGTACACGAGAAAATAAATGTCCTCTTTTTACCACCAAGCTTCTAGCTTTAGGTGTACACTACAGAGAAATAAATCCAGATACTTTTTTATTAATTGATTATTCATTGAATAAATCGGTATTCAGTATCTGTTATTAGTCAGGCTAAGTGTTCCTTCCACGATATTGCGGTATGGTATCTCACTTAATTATTGGTAGTATTTATTGTCGGTAATGAGACATTTGGAATACAAGAGAAAGAGCGAATTCGTAATTTAATATCATTTTGAAGACACGTGTAATAGTATTTTGACAATTTCCATCAGTCACCGTAACTATTTATTTAAATAATTAAATAAATAATAATGTTTGAGATACAGTTGACCACTGAACACTACTTAACTATGACGATGAGGACGCTGACACACGAAATATAAAGATCATACAATTTCACACATATTATTCAAATTAATTATTTGGATTAATGGAAGAACATGACAACAGAATATATGAACGTTGTTGTATTGCAACATGTATACTTGAAATGGTTGAAAATAATGAATAATTTTTCTGATTGTGAAACTTTCTAAAATGCTAGTACTATTAGTACCTTCCATGGTCTTGTTATTTTTTTTTTTTCACACGGATTACATTTTCTCTCTATGATGAATGTCTGTTCAGCTATCATGTTAATTAATAGCTACCTGTAATTTTGTGAGGTTAAGATTTAGCTAATCTATGACCAAAATATATCTCAATAAGAGAGAATATTTAAAAAATTAAAAATAAGCCCTGTGCTATAATTGGCAATTCTTTTTTTTTGATACTACCTTCTTTTTCAAAAAAATGGACCGACAAAAAATTCTCAACTTAATTTTAGAAATTTACCTGTAACATACGTACTTGAAAGAACCGTGCATTGCGCCCTCTGTCGATACAAAATTCCGGAAGTACTTATTTTACCCATGCGCAGTAGAGCCGACATCGGTACAGAACACAGTAGAAATGGTGAGTTTCGTATGAATGACGATTTACTATGTTATTATCTGTTACCAAGCATGAACTTGAAATATTATCTTATAAAAATAGTTTATTTTATACCTAGTTAAAAGACACTTGATCATATCATCGAATTTACGATGCATAGTATCGTTTCCTCGCCAACAATTTTGTGCTGACTCACAACATCATCATCATGCTTTTCTATTTTCTTACCGGCGTCGTTCTCGACTGACTGAGAATAAGTGAAAAATTCCAGCAAAACACATACAAATTGTGTTAGACTATATTGCCACTTTTGGTAGTTCTGTTCGTAATTTGACATGCACAAAACTGGTTAACAAGATTTGTAAATCAAATTCATTGTCTCCATTAATGTTTATAAATAGTACAATCAACACAACCCCCCCCCCCCAAAAAAAAATGATGAAGTGACTAGTAAAATACAGGTGTGTGGAGTAGACACACTGTTTGTATGTTGTTTTTTTGTCATAGATTTGTGTACTTTTAGACAATGGAACCACATAATGTTATTGCAGTCTGGTATGAGTACCTTAGGGCCCCTCTTGCCTATAACTCTAATCTTAACCCTGCCCCTTCATTTTAATTGCATATGCCCTTCTTCAGGAAAAGTATAGTTATCTGGAGGGGCAATGGGGGCTGGAGTGTTTTGGTTTAGGCTTAGGGGTGAACTTACTGAACTCTGAATAGTTGATCTATTTCTATTATTTACAATGCTACAGTGCACATAGTACATGTAGATCTATTTGTGTTACTTACAATGCTGTGGTGTGAAGAGTGGATCCATTTCTGTTGTACACACCACTGCAGTGCCAATAGTCTCTGCTTAATATTAAACCTCCATGTCCGCACACATAGCCCTATGTAAATGTATGTTGTTCTGGCCGCGACCCCAACCTACACAGCCATGTTACCGGAGTACCAGTAAGTAAGTTAGTATATTTTTTGTTTCAAGCCTTATCATTATTGTCTATTTTTCCCTTTCAACCCATCATTGCTTCCGCTTATTTACTAAATTTTGTGGCAGAGCTCCAGAAGGAGTACCTACACTTTATGCAAATTTTTTAAAATTATGCTAATTTATTCATGACTTAGCAGTTTCTGTGCTCATGAATATTCATTAATTTGTGGCTCAATACATTTTAAAAGGGGCGATATATTATTTTTGGGGGAAGAGTTAGAAAGGGGGATTAGCAATCCTTAGGGGGTCAATACAAAAGAAGGGACCCATTTGGAGAGCAGCCATGCTCCTCGTGTCTGTTGTTGCACGTGACCTACAGCTGTCAACTGTGTTCGTTCTTCGACTGTGTTCGTTCTTCGACGACTTCGGCTGGCTTCCACGTGGGGTAGTATTCTTGTGTTCTGTTTTCCTGACTTGAGTTTTTGAATCCGCTGTTTATGTTTTTAACGTCTTTCATGTCTTTTGTAGGAGTGTCCAATCCGTGATTCGAACTTGCGATCTTTTAGTTCCCAGCGCACTGTCTTGTCCACTGTACCACGAGTGTCTTCACACAGGAGTTAGGATTTAAGTCCTATTCATAGGAGCACTGTCTTCACTAGCATTCAAAAATCTAACTAAACATACTGGATTCGAACCAGCGATCGCTCACATTGCTGTCATAGTACAAATCAACTGAGCTATGTGGGTGGTCATGCAAATTAAATAATTTGTTGTCATATTTAGCTTTATTGCCAAATGGTGTTTGCGAGAAAAAGATGGGCAGGCAAGGGAATTGAACCCAGGTCCTCCTGATCACTATGTAGAGAACTGACCCACAAGACCACAATGGATTA